CAGCTTTGAACCAGGGATCTGAGCTCCGTTCCAATCGTCAGTCAAATAGATTTTATTTATAATCAAAGTGAACGACTACTATTGTATCGGCCTATTCGATGCGCTTGCTGAGATAATCTGATCGATTTATAGGTATTTTCTTTACCGCAGAGGCTCTGTCGGTTGACCATCAACACTACAACCAACAGTTGGTCATCGCTGTGGTTCTACGTATTGGTCTTCAGTTCAATTTGCCGGGTTGGCCTCCGGCCAACCTCCGAAGTCAGGTCGGTTTTTGAGTCTACCGAGGATGCGTTTCTTAACCATATACATTCAGATAGATGATAAAAATTTTCCGTAAATTCCACTCTGCCGGGTATCCATACTATACCGCTCTCTCGCCAATATTTTTTGAACACACTACTGATCAGACAATGAAATGAACATTTGACGACTATTTGGGTTTTGTAATTAAGGTCGTAGCTGTAGTTTGGGTTGGCAGAAGACAACCGGTTAGATAGATGAATTTCTCATTAAAACGAAGGCACGCTCAACAAAAGCGAATGTATTTCATATTGCCCTAATCCGTTATTTCAAAAGTGCACTTTTATACCTAGCCATTTTATTTGGAATGATCAAATGATGGGTCAGGTGAATTTTCTGCTTGAAAATATCGGGAGATTATTCCTTCAACTAGAAAAGATATCCTGGGGTAAAAATCATAGTCCTTGTTTAATGTGTGCTTATTTTTGTAATTTGTAAATATGGCCGACAGGAACCAGTGACCTGTTGTTTCCGTAGAAGATAATCGAAGAGAAACAAAAAATATCTAACAATTTCATATACTTTCCTTCCATTTCTGTTCCTGAAGGCTTCTGTAATCTGGTTAATTCCTATTCCGTTTCTTGAGCTCTTTCTTACACTCATCGTTGTTGAGTAATGGCCGTTGCAGAGTTATTGGACTGCTTACAGTCATCAGCATGCTGTTTTATTCGATAAATCAGGTTAATTTTCAAATCTTTTTTATGCTTTCTCTTTATAGGTAGATCATCAAATGACCTGGTCTCCGCTCACTCCATCCAATGCATTTAGCAGTCGGATAATCGGCATTTACCAGCCCTCTTGTTCCGCTCATTCACCGTCTCTTACTCATCGCCAGTTCTGCGGGACTGTTATACCTTGGCTTCTGTTAAAGCTAATCCGATTCAATCCTATAGTGATCGACGAGCACAATGCCACTCTTCCAAAGGACTTGTTCGCGGTGTTGTCCTTGGGAAACCTATCTCCTTCTTTCGCTAAACAATTTAGCGAACAGTGTGTTCCCGTCCTACTCCTCCAACCCTCCCAGTGGGTCGAGCCCTTGACTGATGCGTCGAAGTTATTTTCATTAAAATGTAAGCGTCTTACACTTCCCTGTCGGGAGAATGGACAGTTCGTCCCTCATCTTGGTTGGGCTAGTGTTCTACAAACCGGATTAGACTGGTTGATATCGACCGTCACACCACAGCTCAGCCAATCTCTTCATTGTGATGCGGGTTTGCGACTAAACAAGATTACAGTGTCACAAATACCATCACTACGGCTTCGACCAACCGAACTGATCCGCCATGTAATTGGATTACGTTTCATTCGACCCATGACCATACTGTCTCGTGACTGGTCCTCTCGTGGATTAGTGGATCCGGTAAGTTGAAAATGAATCACCATTTCACAGTTAATACATAAAAAACTAATGGTAGAATGGTGATGTAATGTTGTTTATTATTCGCACATTTGACAGTAAAACACGAAAACAGGTTCACCAACAGCCACTTCATTCCCCGACAAGTCTTTAGTCCAAACCTATTACTGTGTTTTCACGACCAGTGCCAGCCTGCCGTGATCGGATTGTTAAATATAACACTAGTTATTCAATCATTTGGTGCCACATCATTCTCCAAGATGATATCAATAATGCTGATGCTGGTATCACTCTGAAACTTTTCGCATCAACTGAGGAATGTTGGAATCATTGGATCAGCTCAGTGGATTTTACAGACAACGGGCACTACGCCTCGTCTCTTGCGTTGTAGACGTGGGTTTCATTCTTTTGCAGTTTTTTTTTTAATTTCCCATATGGTGAGTCTCAATCTGCCCATTAAGTCCCTGTCGATTGTCCACACTGTTTTTTTTAACTATACCACTGCCAACCTCACCGTCTCCCGATTCCTCGTCATATTAATCCTATTGAGGGTCATTCGGGGTTATACACTCCGAGTTCTAGGTCTGATGTCACTCATTTCCCCAACTGGCCGGGTGGTGACGTAACCTCCGTTTTTCATCGTACTAAATTGTGCAAGAATACATATGTATATAATGTTCTAAATGAATATCTTGTTTTAATTTTTTTTATTTTTGTTGAGTAGTTTGCATCCGAGATATTCCGTTTATTGGAAGCTAACCTCGCACAATACTTCCGGTGTCCCCTCGTCACACTTTCATCACCTATCACAAATGAATCACACAGTTCGAAAGAAATATCTTTGATGTGTATATTATTGTATTGTCATAACTCCTGCAGGCATGAAGCCTACATTTCAGTTTAAAAAATATACGGGTTGGAGCGAGGGAGGAAAATAATAATAATAATAACAATGAAAAAAGAGATTTAAATCCAAAAACTGTTAACAAAGTCTGTGAAAATTTGTTCTTTGTTAACAGGAATACGTGCTAATGAGGGTACTGTGGAGTTACGATAAATGTTTATTCTATTGTGATCTAGTTGAGGGATGGGAACAACAGGAAGTTAGGATGTTAGGATGTGTGGAATCGATGAGAATCTTATGCGCAAACTTTTCACACGCATTCAAATGACGTTCGCATAGGTTAGTTATCAACTCCTTTAGTGGGATTGAAGAGACACGGCTAATGATGGTCAATCCACGTCGAAACAAATTAAAATCTTTCTTAAGGAGGTTGGAAAAAATAACAGCTGAAGAATAACGTAAAACGGGGAAAATACACTGGTACACAAACTTGGAAATAATTGATTGTTGAATACAAAACTGACGAAGTTTATGGATATCCAAAGAAAGTTGTCGAAGCTTACTGACGATATGTTGAATGTGGGAGGTCCAGTGAAGATCAGTATCAATAAAAACACCGAGTTATTTAATGCAGTTTACCTGGGATACTGGTTCAGAGCCAATCGATACCGGTTTAGTTAATGTTGGGAAAGAAGAGCGTGATAATGTAAAGAGACATTCGAAACATTTGGAGGGATTAAGAGCTAGACCAGATGTAGGCCAGAAGTTATCCGCAAGCCAAGCTAATAACTGTCTAGGACAACCAAAGGTCTCTAGTTTATGAAGAAGAAGAAGGGAACGGGGAATAGAATCAAAAGCAGATGAGTTGTCCAGAAACACGACGGACAGATTTCGCAGAGTCATTCAAGGATTTGGTAGTTTTATGTAAAAGAGAGGAAACTGCATCTAGCTTGCCTCTATTTGATTTATAAGCAAACTGAAGAGGATCAAATGGGACATCAATGGAGGACTGAATGCGCTTAAGAACAACACGTTCTTCTAGCTTAAGTCCAATAGTGGTTAAAGCAATAGGACGAAAGTGTTTGGTTAGAACGTTTGAAGTAGAGGATTTGGGAATGGGAAAAATTGTTACTGGTTTCCAACAGTCTGGTATAGAGCAGGTTGTTAAGGAATTGTTCAAAAATGATGTTAATATTTCACTGAGAGAATAGGCCCCATATCTCAGCAGGAAAGATGAAAGACCATCAGGACCAATACTGCACGTGTTTTTTACGGTACGCAAAAGCTAAAAGGTTTCTTCTTTCGAGACGACCTCTACTTGCACGGCATTTTCCAGAACAAATAATGTGATCGCATCGCTTGATGGGTGGATAAATGCTGCAATAACACTGTCCAAATCCGTTGTACAATCTGACATTTTGGATTTGGTCCCACACAGCAATTTGATACCTTGCCAAATTCGCTTACTGTTGTTACATAGCAGAAGCTGGGAGGTGTACGACGCAGAGAAGCGTTTTACTTCAGCTTTGATCAAGTTGATGTAATACTTGACAGCCGCTGAGTCTATAGATTTGTACGATCGTTCCTTCTGTCTTCTGAATGATTTCAGCAGTAGAGATGCTATTCTGCCGTTACAAAGAAATAAAGTTTCAAAAGGGCAGCATAGGTTAAACGTGTGGTTAAGTGTTTCAGTGAATTAGTGGACTGCATTGCGTAAAGAGGGATAAGAAGAAAACCACGAAGAAACGACACTGATGGAACGTTTAAGAAGAAGGGTGTTTCTTGGGGAGAAATTGTGAAGACGAATGGTGATTTGATTGGTTCTTGTGAGTGTATTGTGAATGGGACGGGAATAGACTGTGGGTCTTATGAGAATCAGTGCATGATCACTAGTGGAAATAGGTGCGGTGAGCTTTAGGGCAAAATGTTCTGGGTGACTAGTAATAACCTTGTCTAAAAATGAATCACCTCTTGTGGGGACAAGTAAATATCAGTTAAGCCAAAAGAAGTTATGGGATAGGTGGATGCATGATTAAAGTCACCAACAATGATGTGGAGACTATCGTCTATGAGGGGAACGAAAGACGGAATAAATGCATCAAAGAAAGATGGAATGTGAGACTGGGTACAAAAGGGGGCTATCTATAAGTTGGTAATGATTGTACTTCTGTTTCGCAAAAATCTATGGAAACATTGAACTGCTAAGCAGTCGATGCCATTGACGGAATAATGAAAAAGAATTTCAGACTTGCCGCTCCAAGTTGAGTTGATGTACGTGATCACTCCACCTCCTGTTTGCTTCTTGCAGTGCTTTCTGTCCTTACGGAAGCAGTTAAAACCATTGATTCCAATTAGTGGGTCCTCGACACTATGGTCAAGCCAGGAATCTTGAATACAAACAACACACGTGTTACGGTGGATGCGTGAATCAATGGTGCCCGTTAGATCCGTCATCTTTGCAAAGAGCGACCGGATATTCGTGCTGACCAATGAGGGGACAGTCATTTTCGATAGTGGTGTGCGACTAAGCACTGCTTGCCAGCCACTGCGCTTACGTTTCTTCCCTTTAGTAGGAATCCGAAAATGAGCCGACGAAAGGCACAGTATTGAGATGATCATGTTTGAAACTCATTGACTGAGACCGCGAATAGACCTTTTGAGTGGCCATTATGTGGTATTCACGAAAATAAAATAATTCTGAGAGGGAGAAAATGTAGCGCAGCCAATCAAAGGGCGCACCATACTGAATGTGGTTATAATTCACTTCAAGCTCTTTAATATTTCACAATTGTCAAATTATTTCCTAACCGGTGCGTTGTTTTCTCTCCGCGCACATCCAGTCGCTTCAATCCCTCGTTGATGCCTATCAATCAGTTCTGACAAATATCCTCGATCGTATTCACGAAGTTCCCGTTCGCGATCAAATCGAACGACTGTTGGACCTCCGGACTGTATTTTTTTCGTTGTCCCATATGGCTTCAGTCCGTACCCAAGGAAATGCGTGGATTCCAGTGATGGGTGAATGGCGCGTTTGTGCTGAGAAACTCGCTCTTTCCGCGGAACGCATAGAGACTGTGGAATTAGCTTTTCAACAAGCACAAAGGACATTCGAATACCGCATCCGACAGTCCATTCTACACGGAGATAGATTGGAAATCCTCCCGCACCCGACTCTTGCTCCTTGGTTTCGGATGTTCATGGTTGTAGTGCGAGATCGTCTGGACAAGTTAGTGAACAGTAATGTGATGCTGGTGCCCGGACTCGAAACGTTGCAAGCTCTGGTTGATGAGCTGAGTAAACTGGAGTTGTGCGAGAACGATCAATACGAGGGCTCCACTCTGGCTTCACTTGCCGTGCATTTTTCCCAATCAGGTAAACTAACTTGTCCGGGTTGATTATGTTCAGTCTTATGCCGGTCGAGACAGAATCTGGTGCTCATTTGTTAGTCACTGGAATTTGCTCTCCAAATCCATATACTCTGAACGGTAGATTCATCAGGAAACTTCATGAACGAGGACATATACTGAACCGGATCAACGTCACTGGACCCTCTTGAGACTGTCTGTTTAGTCTATTTCTCGTTTTTTCTTCAAAATAGTCTTCCTTTCAGATTTTCATATATAAATGTAGTTCAGGGTATGAGCTCAGATTATATAACTAATCTGATTTATGAGCCTTCAGTGGATAGTGTTTTTTTACCATGCTGTTTGATTGTTCTTCATAGTTTTGTAGTTTAGAGCTGCATATCTCTAGTCGTAAGTAGTCCCTATCGTTTTACCGTTGCTCGTATTTCACCGGAGAGGCTTCCTTGGTGTGCAGGGGTTGTCGAAATAGGTTGTAGCTGGAAGAAGACCAAGAGAGTGGTCAAACTATGAACCGGCATAAAAGGTATGAAGTCCTTCATTAGGGGAACTGCGTGATATAAGTCGCGTCAAACTTCTTGGTTGGAAACCCCAAGACCAGACAAATTGTAAGTTAACGAGACACCTTTTGATTTCACAGATTGCCGTAACAAAACTGAGCGTTGTTAAAACCAGACTGCGGATTGTTAACAGGAGAGCGTGCATTATCGAGACCAAAGTTCTTGATCCCTCATTAAGTTGCGTCGGACAAACCTGTTGTCATTGCATCATAATTCGTTTGTATTTGGTAACTTGTCGGACAGGACATAATGAGGAAACAAGCGCTTTGGTCTTGGCAATGGCTAGTTTTGTCTTCGCAATCTGCGGGCTGAAATGGAATAGTTTAACCACTGCATGTCGGATCGTTATTTTCCTATCACCCTTAAGCTTTCCTCCACCGTCTTAGCCATTTTACCTGATCCTGTAACCAACTATTGAGCACGACCGAACCGGAACGGTGTCTAGACCGAGATGTCGCTTGTCCCGTGACGTGCACGTGAAGGGCCGCTTCACACCGGGTACAATGTTCAGATTCGAGCACCGACGATATGTCACATTGTTATGCCATACGGGAATTAAGGGCCCTGAAAAATTTTGTTTTCACAACTGACTCAGTAAATAGTCATGATCATAAAACCCTCAGTTGCAGAACCCATTTCTGACTGAAGTCTAGTATTCAATCTAATACGCTCAACTCTAGCAATTTTGTTGAATTGGTGAAGCTGATTACAAATGAGTGGTTTGAAACCTACTTTGAACTTGTTCAACCGTGAAAACCACGAACATCAATTTCGCAACTTAGTTTTATTTTTGCATGTGAATTGCTACCGGTCAGTAAAATGTTCAAAACCAAATTGTCAGAAGAAAATTCTCAAAGCGTAATGTACGAAAGACACCTTTCTAACCCTTGGGAACGAATCCAGCATGTTCTGTAGAACAGCTATAGAATCAGATCCGAATGGACTTTTTTCCGAGTGACTATCAGCCCGGCATCGGTCGATCGCTCCTCGGATGAATATTATTATTCTCTCATCTGAGAGAAATCCACACACTTGTTCATCATTTATTTCACTGATGGCCCCTCACAAAGCCAGCTGATTGGTGGTACTCTGTTCACTTTTTTGTGTTGTGCCAATAATGGTCACTGAATTTCGGTTAATTTGTTGCTGCAATTCATTGTAGCAGATATTTTGTAATTTTTACAATCATTTTTGTTTCGCTTCAAAATCAAACTGCGGTAATGATTTCACTTCGGTTAATACGCCTCGCTGATGCAACTTTAGCATCTTCCATGTTACTGTGTTACTCTGTTGCAGGTCAGCCCGCTGCATCCGTTGCGATGGCGGTTGAACTGTCGTTGGATGCGCTTCGTAAGGAACAGATCACCACCGCATTGAATAGTTCCGCACACGAAAGTTCTGCTGCATCAGACTTGGAGATGAAGTTGAATATGCTTGCCCATCGTTTGGACGATGTCGAGTCGCTCGTGTCACAAACTTTACAAGAAACAGAAACCCATTCACTGACTTGGAAACGCACTCAAAGTCTTTCTCGAATTCGCTCCTCTAAACGTGAATGAGGTTTTCTGCCTTGTTTCTCCCTCTGTCCCAATTCCACCGTGCTTCAGAATTTGTAACACTGTCTTTGTTTTCTTCACAACGTGCTGCACTCAGCACACTGTTGTCAAAAGTTCTCCCGTTTGTTGTTTTGAAACATTCATGGTGAAACGAAAGTGGTTCGCAACTGAGGACTTGTTCACTTGCTTCTCAATCCCCACAAATATTCCTTGGAAAAAATTTCTTCAATGTACAGAAAGCATTTCTACAAAAAGCCTCAAGGAACTCTCATTCAGCCAAAAACTGTTTTCTGTCTGTTTTGTACTTTTTTGTATGCGGACGCAGTGTGAGACAGCACCCCGTGGGCTCTTAACCCCTCATTTTCCCTTTCCATGTATTTTATCCCAACCCCGTTTTTCCCTTTATTCATCTCCACGGAATAGACGTCAAATATATGCTCTATTTATTCTCTTTTCTATTCTAAAAGAATATCCGTGCGTATGTAATTCCCTTGTAATACAAACAGCTCTAGGACAAGACAGTAACCTACCTTCAGTCAAGTTTGCGATGTTTCTGACCGAGTCATGAACGCAGGAGTCGGTGCTGAGATAAGTCAGNGAAACAAGCTTACGGAGATGGGTTGTGCTATATTGCGCATAGACAAAATGAAAGACTGCTCTGATCAGCTGTCAGGTGTTCAAGTGAGTGGTACACTTACATTCTACATGTGAGGTCTTGGGTCCGATTCCCAGTTGTATCGGTCGATTCGGATTGCTGATTGAATCCAACAACATCAAGCGATTGTACAGTACACAATACATAGCTTCCCCGCCAAGTTTTTTCGATGGGTATAGTGATTTTATGCAATAACACCTCGCTGCTGTGTCTGTTCAGACCCTCCGCGCGCAGAAGCTAGACACTAAATCAGGTTTCTCTTTTGCCCCGCATTCACCATGGCCTCCTACGGATGGTGCGCTGAAGAGTTCTGTCCTGCCGACGAATTAATTAAAGATCCAGGAATGCTGTATCCATTCTTTTCTTTCTTTAGAGGGAATTCCGTATTTAGGTGTACTTCTAACAGTATGGGGAGGATCATCCTGTCATCAACGGAACACTCTAATTCGACTCAGTCAATTGTGAGCAGTGGTGTGGGATAAGTGGCACTGACTTCATTTTCACGCACACTCAGTCCAGTCAACCATACACTCAGGAAGCACTAAACTCGAGTTTCGCTTTCCTTAAAGTTTATCAGTAATACATATCCACTGTCCCGTCCTGGATTTAAACTTTAGACCCGGAAAACGTATTTGTTACTACTGTGCCAACCAGCTCATACCAGGGCTGAACAAAATTACCAATTAATGTTTGTTCAGATGTCTTCTTCAATTATAGGCAGTCAATTACTTTTACCCGACAGCAGCGCAATGATAGTTGACCACCTATGAGGTCAGTTCAAAAGCCTCTCACCAAAACAGGACTTTCATGCACTAAGTATAATGAACATATCGTTTATACAACGTGACAGTTGTCGAGGAGGTTACTACATGAACCTACATCAGTCGAACCATTAAAATCAGAGGTAACAGTAGAAGAAGAGAGATTTGTACAGAGGGTGAATGATAATTTTGCGTGTCGTGTTTGAGGAAATTATGCATGGTATTTGTATACAAGGAACGAAGGTATCTCTAAATGTGTGGGTCCATGGGTAGTTTGTGTGCGTGATATCACCTGGTTATCCGAGACGATTATCTTGGTGGGGATTTCTGACCGGAACCTTTCGTTGAAGAACCTAATCCACACTACAGTGGGGTGGAATGAGAAGTTCACAATCCTCTGGGAGCCGGTGATTATCGGACCAGTTAAGGAATACTTCTTTCGTTCTCGATCAAAACTATCCAGAATGGTCAGTTTGTCCTTGGTCCGTGTGATCTCCAATGCGCGTCATAGTGATCGAATCCAAAGGTGAATATCAATATCGGTTCGTGAGTTGCGCCAAAGATTGAAGCTGCTGTGAATCTCGTGCGTTAAGTGTGGGTGTTTCCGAATCAAGTTGTTAATCGACTCGGTGGATTTTAAAGAGACAGAGCTACATGAACCACATTGCGCCATACTCACAACATTGTGACTCATAGGTAGTGTGTATTTTCGCAGAAAAAGTTAATTGCAACATCTAATTTAATGTTGAAAGTATGTAATAATGGTCCAGAAAACGGCAATAAACCGGAAATTAGAAAGGGTGAGGTTTAGTTATGTGATTTGAAAAGAAAATCATTTTTATTTAGAAAGGTTTGCATCGGAAAATTGAACCTCGTCCAAATATGAGAGTAATGGAGGATCTAATTCAATTTCACAGAGGGAATTCGTCGTGTATAGAGCAAATGAAGCGTGCACTGAAAAGCTAGGAGGCACCGTACACCTGTTTCGATCGGGTTGGGTCTCATCAGCAGTGCGAATCCATCGAACCCGAGAACTCACAGGCAGAACACAAGCATTCTACCCACTCGGCCCAGCTTTTCAGTTCACGCTTCATTTGCTCTATACACGACGAATTCCGCCTGAAATTTAATCAAACTCTGCATTACTCTCATGTAACAAGTAGTCAGGTTGTGGAAGTTCCCAACCGAATCATACCCTGGGGGCTAGTACTGAGATGAGCGCGGCGCGATGCTCGCAAAGGTGGTTTGTGCTATATCGTGTAAATGGAAAATGAAAAAACGGTCTAATCAGTCGTTCAAATAGTCTAAAATCATTTCAGCATTCGATCCGTATACATTCCTCAGCCGTCGCCTTACCCTGCTCCAAAATATCTCAACGCCATTAGTGTGTATGCACTCCTGTAGTACGATTGACGAACCCACGCAGATCATTGACAGCCATGTACAAATCCCTAAGACGTTAACGGTTAGTCGCCCGCCCATTCATCGATGTTTCCTAGGGCGACCCAATTTTGAATAAATGGAATGAGTGTAACCGCTGATCTGTTGTGGACATTTTCGACAGACATTTTTTCAGAGATCAATCGCACATCCCAAACACCCCCACTGTAAGTCGCTGACTCACCTTTTCGTATTGGCTGCGCATCGCTCCAGTTTCATCGATCTCGACAATAACTCATTTGTGTTGTCAGAGGACAGAGCCTCGGAGAACACCACTGCAAAAGGGATACCACTGAAGGTAATCCTCTTCAAAGCATTTGCCGTTGCAGCAGCCCTAGTAACGAGCTCTTCCAAAAAAAACTGTTAATTCCATTAAAGTATCCAAGGGTAGCTTTGATTTGTCGAAAAAAGTACCAGCACGAATTTGCATGCGATTCTTCTATCTTGTGCATCGGGAAACAAATCTAACTTGTCAGTCACCAAACTCCGGCAAATGCATAAGATATCCACAAAACACGTTCTTTCTGTTACTTATAAAAGTCGATCTTGCATACATATTTGAAGCAAGTAGGAGCGTAAAAATCTACACAATGGATGCTTCAGGTGAAAACCATCCGACAGGGCTCCAAGGAAAAAGACCGAAAATTCACTTTATTCTAGAACTTGTATACCTTCATATATATATATATATATATATATGTATACATATATATATCACAATACCAACACTCATAGACAATATAATAGTGAAGTCTTTGAAAAATAAATCCATTAAACAAGGTTACAGACGGGGGTCAGCTACTATAGGCTGATTTCCAATGGTCAGTCAGCCCGTTTAAAAGCGCCAGGCATTCGCCTTTGCCTTCTCACTTCATCGGAAACCCTTGTCTCAAAAATTTTACTGAGTAGAACTTCCTCGAAAGAAGTTGTATGTGGTTATTTGTAGTTTCGTAGCATTTCTAGAGGTTTTGGGGACAATTAGCCATCCCTAATTCCAAAACAACCACTCTCGACTATTCTAGAACATTGGGAAGTAGGTAATCTTCTTATATGAAGCTATTCACGGATTGCACCACTTTGCTACAGATACATAGTGCCCTTCAAAATTTGAAGATCTCTCGCCTCCACATAATTGTCTGGCATATCTCTGTTGTTTTCTTTTTTCTCTGATGGAACCACATATACCGAATGAATTGCACAATACCATGTAAATTCCAAATGCATAATTCCACTGTTGACAAAAATTTAGTAATATACATGCAAAACGCGAGTTCTGACCCACCAAATACTCAGATTCTCAAACAGACCGAGTCAATTTCTCACTTTTATCACCGCAGACTTGACCAATCGTTAAAACTTGCACATCATTCGAGTAGATTTCTGCGTAGCCTGAACCAAGTGCACAAGCGCGTACGCACACTGCTTCTCTCCGATCCGCGCACGTGAGTGTGTATCTCTGCCTTGACTGTAGCATAGGTAACAGAGATGTCCTGGGGTCTACAGTCTATATATAGCGAATGTGAATGACACAGTCAATCAAGACTGGACGCGGGTGACTGTTACAAAGCAACACACTCTGGTTCCCTTGGGGTCGGGGCAGGGAGTCACTGCAATCCATTGTGTAATCCAATGTTGCGAGTTGTGCACAAAAGCACACGAGCATGAACTTATAGTCTGTCCAACGAAATGACCTTTGAGATCATGTGATACATTTTTTCCCTTCTACGACTACCCATCACCAGACACCGGTAACCCGATTGATCAATTGACGAAATAGTCTAATGAGCTGGGCCGGTTGAGTAAAGCACGAAATAGGTATTGGAGCACAGCCAACAGGCTTGGGTCGATAAGATTGGAACTTTGCGCTTAGCTCGTAACGTGTATAATGGACAAGCCACATTTGGACAAAATCGCCGCAGCGAATGAGTTTGGGTGGGGTCTGACTTTTTCTTTGCCTAATACAGCATTTATAAAACTCGGGTAAAAAAAGAAGGACAGTAATAGCACATACAAAAGTGGAATAAATGTCAAATATATCGATAATAGCAACTGTTTCCGGTATGCCATCTATAGCCCGGATGTGACAATGATTGGGATGGAGAGTGGAAGGGGACCACGGGAGACAACTTCACAATTTTGTTTTTGTG